CTCCCCCAAAACGCGGCCGGTAGCCTGAAAGTGCCGGGACTGCCCAGTGCCGCGGGCTCCGTACTGTGGGCTCGGTATCATGGGCTCGGTGGGCTTGGTACCGTGTGCTTGGTACCATGGGCTTGGCACTATGGGCTTGGTGCTACAGGCTCGGTACCGTGGGCTCGGTGCTATGGGCTCAGTGCCGCAGGCTTGGTACCATGGGCTCGGTACAGTGGGCTCAGTGAGCTCGGTACCGTGGGCTCGGTGCTATGGGCTCAGTGCCGCAGGCTTGGTACCGTGGGCTCGGTACCGTGGGCTCAGTGGGCTCGGTGCTATGGGCTCAGTGCCGCAGGCTTGGTACCGTGGGCTCGGTGCCCTCGCGGACGCTGCCTCGAGCGGGCCGTGGACGTTAGAGGGAGCTGCAGCCCGCGGGGCTCCGGCCGCGGCACCGCGGCTGCTCCCACCCGGTCCCACCCCTGTCCCGCCTCTCCAGCGGGTGTCCAGAGGATTCCCAGAGGGTGTCCAGGGGGACACCAGCCACCACAGGGCCCAGGGTCCTTCCCTTCGGATTTGGAGCAGGGAACGTGGTGGGAGCTGTGGGACTTTGAGCACCTGGTGCCTTCGTCCCTTCCCCAGCTCCACACATGGATCCTGCTTGTTCCCTGCGTGGTAATTCCTAGTGATACTGTGGATGGGACAAGGCATCTGCTCCGGGCTGCTGAGCACCGGTCACAGCGTTTCTCATCCAAGAGGCACAATCCCGAGCTGCGCTCTATGGGAAGCTCTGAACATCCTAGAAATAAAGCTGAGCCCAAACTCTCCTGGAAAGGGTAAGGCTCTGTTATTCCTGGCTGTGAGAGACAACAGATTTCGCGGCAAATCAGGCAAAAGGCAACGTTGTTTTTGGCTGCGTTTTGAGAAGGAATCGGAGGACGATGGAAACCCCTAACGGCGGCGGTGCCATGTGGAGGAGCCAGCACAAATCCATGGGCGAAGGCAGCTCAAGTGCAAGGCTGGAACTAAAGTTCCTGGCTGTGCAAGGCCAAGCCTAAGGGAGATGAGCGGAACCAGTGCAGTGGGAGAGCTCAATGGCACAGGACGTTTGCAAATACACACAAAAAAACTGCTCGGATCGTGTATCCCCAACAAAGGAATAACGAGCCGAGCTAACATAGCCGAGCAACTCGTCCCGAAAGGGTTACACTAAGACTAAAACCGGTTTCTGGAGGCCTGGGGCAGGTGTGTTAGGTGTTTGCAGGGGTGGGGGGGGAAGAGCTTTGCCAGACCTGACGCGTTTAGGAATGAGCTTTGAGCTAAGGCGAGTGGCAGGGCCGGGAGGCTGCGTGTTGCTCCGGCCGCCAGCTCCCGTCCCAGCCTGTGCAAAGGCTCGGTCCCCGCTCGGAGGCCGGCAGTGCCCCCACGCCGGGACTTTCCTCCTCTGTTTTCCTGGATGTGGCGGCCTTCAGACAGGGCTCGGTCCTCAAGGGAGGGCTGGTGGCAGCGCAGAGAACCCAGATACCTCCAAAGCATCCCCAAAACGGCACCAGCAGCAACAGTGTCAAACCGGTTTGCCCGGTTGCCTGCCTGGGTGTTAGGAGTCACCGCGGCCTTCGCGTCGCCTCCTTCCTTCCCTTCCCCTGCTTCCCAAGCGCAGGGAGGACAGGGAAGCGTTTCGGCGGCCGCAGCCCTTCCCTCGCTGCCCTCCCCTCGGCCAAGGGGGCCACTCGGGCACCCCCAGCCGCTCCGTGTCCCCGTCTCGCCCCGGCGCTTCGGCACCGCGCGCCGTTCCGGGCCGATTTCTGTCTCCAGCCTATTTTGGGACCACGCTCGGGCGGGTTATTTCAGCTCCCCAGGGCTCTATTTCGGGAGCTGCCCTTCTCCGCACGTGCTGCCGGAGGTTTCCACGCAGGAGAGCCAGGGAAGGGAGCGTGACCTGGGCGGCTCAGCGGCCAAGCCTGGGCTGGGGGCGACCTCTCCAGCAACGACGGGAGGGCGGGTTGCAGGACGAGGGCGGCAGAGTTTGTGGAGCAGCGACTCGAGCGCGGGGCGGACACAGGCTCTGTGCGCAGCCAGGAGCCGCCACTCGTCGCGGGGCAACCTTGGGCAGGACGGCGTTGGGGCTGAGCCGGGCTCAGCGCTTTTTCTTTTCCCTGGGCAAGAATACACATTAAACAGCATTAAATAATCACAAGCAGGTTGGCCCTGGCCTTTTAAAGCAGTTATTTATGTTACACCCTCCAAGCGCCAGGGCCCTACCACCCGCCGGCCCTGGGGGCAGCGTCAAGGCCGCGTCCCCGTCCCGGCACCCAGCAGTGAGTCAGGGCGGCCGAAGCCGACGGGCCGGCCAGACCAGCGGCCAAGGCGAGCCGGGCCTGTCCATGGGCCTCGTCCCGGAACGGCCTCCATCCCGGGACCAGCCTCCGGGCTGCCCGGCCTCTGCCCGGCCTCCGGGCTGCCCGGCCTCTGCCCGGGGCCTCGGCGGCCCCTTCCCGCCCGGAGCGGGCGCCAAAGCAGACACGCGCAGCCGCCTCCTCGCGTCGCTCTCCGCGCCGTTTTATTCAATTCTTACAAAACAGAATACAAAATTCCGGCATCAACAAGTGTTATAAAGGAAGGAGGAAAAAAAAAAAAAAGAAAAAAAGAAAAAAGAAAAAAAAACTTCAATTCAGCTGTATCAGGTCACCTGGTACATCCGGTAAAGTGCTTTTTTTGTTGTTGTTGTTTGCTTTTTTTTTTTTTTTTT